TAATGCATAATTTCATTTGATAAACACGTTTAGATTGAATGGTAATTTATAATCAGTCACAAGAACGTCGAATCTGAATCACTTGAAAAAACACGGGGGTGCTTAACTTTTTTCCAATTATAATTATAAATATATAATTATATTTTTACAAAAATATATTAAAAACAGGATTTTGTAGAAAAGGATAAACTTTCATATATATATAATTATATTTTTACAAAAATATATTAAAAACAGGATTTTGTAGAAAAGGATAAACTTTCATTGTAATGATAAGCAAAACCTATAATAAAAACCTTATAAACTGGTAAGTATTCTTTGGGAAAATGTAAGAAATCTTTTAGGTCCAGTAATATCCTAATTGTATGAGTGTTTCAGTTTGGAAAATTTATTCTTTGCTAAAGAAATTAAACAGAAAACCTATTAAAGCTATGTTTTTTGGCCAATGAACTGATAAAAAGCTGTATCTTCAGACTTCTTCAACTATGACTGGGTCATAGAATAAAAACTTGATGTTAAGACTGAGACTTAAAAAAATGGTATAAAGAATACACAACTGGTAAAAATAGAAATAAATTTCAAATACTTGCATGTATCTTGTGTCAGCAATATACATGCAGCTGAGCAGGTAGACAGTCAGAAGCAGGTATTCTTGAAATAGTACGCAGTGCATTAAAAGTGTTCTAAAAATATGTGAAGTAGATTATTTTATCTTTGACTGGAGTAACAAAAAACTTAGCTGTAATTGTATTTGTGATCACTGTATTGTACAGCAAATTAACTGTTCCTTTTTGGTGAACAGTAACTTTACTGACTTTCAGGGTTCAGTTCCCTGTGGTGGGCAGATCACTGATATCTTGTGCAGCTTTTTTGCTTTAAAAAAACAACCTAAGTACTAGAAATGTAAAAATATTGACATTAAAGTAGCATTTGGTTAATACAATATTGCTGCAAAAAATAATACCGTATGTCATACTGTTTACAAATTTAAATTCTTAAATTGTTTGTATTTTTATGTATTCTAATAGTACAGAAATATATCTATTTAAATAGCAGAACTGGTTTTTCTGTTATATTTTGATCATAGTGAAGCTCTTCTATAGGAACATTTAAAAATTAAAAAACCTGTACTGTTAATCTACACATTTATATACAGGTCTTATAATAAAGTTTGAAAAAAACAAGTATCAGTATTCACTTCACTTAATAAAAAGCTGGAAACTTTTTGTTCCTCAAGTATAAGATGATATAGTTGTACTCATTAAAACCAGTTAAGTAGTGATCTCATTTCAGAATAGTGTTTACATAATAATGACGAGTATATCTTTTGTGTATCATTAGATATATGTCTTGTGGTATATGTATAATAGTCACTGTATCATGAGAAAATTGGCATATTTATAGCTTGTTAATGGTATGACAGTGAAAAAACATGATGAATAATATTTATTGATCAAATTAATGGTATTGTATTTAGTTCAAAGCAACATTTATTTCATTGTTGTGAAATCAAATATCATAAGAATGATATGAAAACAACTGTTTCAGCTAAAATGTTGTGAATGTTGCCCCAGTAATCAGTGAGTTAAACAATGACTTGTTCCACCAAACATTCTTTGTATGGTAATTATGTGTTCAGAGTCTAGACCCAAAAAGTACCTGTCCTGGATGTTGAACATCTGTTAACTTCAAGCCTCATTTTGTAAAGCTCTACACTACTATTATAGTGATTATTAGCATCATATCTAAAACAAAACAACAAGTTTGTTATTAATAATAACCAATTGATCTAATTAAAATTGTACTAGCCAGTTATCAAAAATAATGATATATTATGCACATATTTAAGTATAAATTTTCTTCAGGAATATCTAAATGTAATCATTTTTATCATTACAAGCTTGGTTAATAACTATAATAAGACTATGTGACATCAGTTACAACCCTTTACTGCAATATGCCCTAAAAATAAAAAGTGTAATACAATAGGGAAAATCTTATGAAATGCTTGAAACTCCACTTGTGAGAATTTTATTACTGGAGCTGTTATTTAATCTGATTATTCTATTCATGTGACTATTTATAAGCATACATTAATTAATTGCTTACATCTCAGAAATACTAAATTTGTGCACAAATTTTGCAAAACATGTTATCTTTTGGAAACAAATTGATGCACCTTTCACTGATAGTTTTGAAAGATATATATTAAGTAAATAAAAATTGTCATTAAGTCTTTATATTCTATTACATCATGCAACTGGCAAACAAACCCATAAAAAATTGAATTTTTTTTTTGTATGTGTAATTACCAGTGTTACATAATAAAACCTTTGTTTTTGAACAATGACCACAGTTTATAATGTCCATCTCTAGTGCTTTGTGGGACATTGAAACTGGTCAGCTCTGCACTTCATTTACTGGTCATTCTGGTGATGTCATGTCCCTCTCTCTCTCTCCAGACATGAGAACATTCATCTCTGGAGCTTGTGATGCTTCAGCAAAGGTACTGAATTAACATACCGATTCTGAACATTAAAAACTACTGAGGAGATTAGATAATGATACACTAAACTGCTATTTGTTTTTATAATAACATTATTTAACTTGTGTGTGCAGATGCTAAAGTTCTTTCTACTTATAATAAAGGTCCTTATTGTGCTATGAATGTGAAGTGAGATGTAAAACTAAACACACCTGCTGGACTTATGTCTGGAAATTTCAAAATCATGCAGACAAAATTTGATAATTATGTTCCAAACTGGAATGAATTATGCATTATTCTTTAATCGTGTTTCACTAGTTTTGATTAGTTCAATATCTTATTTAGTGTGTTTTTGTTGCACTTAATTTTTAACATTAAAATGTGCTCATTGTTGGCAATCTTGTGGTCCATAAAGCTCTGATAAAGCACCGGACACTAAAGCTCCTGCATTTACCATAATACTAATACCTCAATATGATAAAATGAGTTATTGAATATAAAATACAGTAGTTTGAAATGGATTGGGTATGGGTTATCACTGTGGATTTTGAAGCTGGTAATAGAAGTTTGAATTCACATGATACCACAAAACATTCCTTGGACTTTAAGCTGTGAGAACATTATAAGAGTGGTGGTACTGTGGATGTTGTGTGATAGGATGGTGAATGATGTGATGTTGCTGATTGGCTGTCTACTCTCTCTGATCAGCAGGGATGGTGACAAATAGCCTTAGTTACTTTGTCATAAATGGATTTTTTTCAACTACAGATTGATTTACATTTGGTACATAATCTTTAATTGTCATTTTGTCTCTTCAGTTGTTAAAAAATGCATAATTATGCCTCTGAACATTAGAGTCAATCATTAGATAGGGTCAGTGTAGCATTAAAACTATGAATTACAATTAATTCCGATACAATAACTTACCCCTCTCACAAAACAGCGTGCTTTATTTTTACTGCTCTCTTTATACACAAAATGTTTGCCCGGCACCAGTCTTTATACTCCCATTAATCTCCACTGCATTGTAGCATGCAAATAAGCATACGACAACCCTCCTAGTGCAGCTGACTTCCTCTATGCAGTAGAATCCAATCTTCACTTCTTGATTTGGCACAACAGTGATTAATCACCTCCTTTGCCTTTTTTATTATTTTTTGCTAGGATTTGAAAAACAAATTGGAATTTATTTTTAGTGAATTTCATTTTGAATAATTTCTGTGAATGACTTATGAATTTACAGTTCCATGTCACTACTACTACTACTACAACTTCAGACTACTGGCGACCAACAGCCTAACTCTGTGGCTTCAGGTCTGACATTATTGGCTGATAATATTTCAGCCATATAACATGAGATGTCTTTCATGCAGACTGAAGGGTCTACTGACCATCAACCACTTCTCCCATTCTCAGGGGAACCAGAACAGGATGATAAGGATTTGGACAGCCTTTTTCTTCCCCTCCCTTTACTGTACAGTCCTTTTCTCAGACTGTGGATGCACCACAACCATTTTCTCCCTTTTTGGAATTAGTTTCACAGGTATGTTCTGTTTTGCCTTTGTCTCCTACCCCTTATGACCCATTCCTTTCCCTTTTGACAGAGGCACCTTCCTCTGAATACTTTATCCTTCCTCCCTCACCTGACATTGGGTTCCACATTGAGCATTTTACCCAGCAATTGTGTTCAGGGGTCAGCATGCCTTGTCTCCCACACATGGCAGAGGCTTATGGTTTGGCTTACCATCATTCAGTATATCCTTTTTGGATACTTAACATTTGAATTCACTCCTCCCCATTTTTGGATTGGACTCTGACACTTCTTTGCTCTTTTCACAGGCACAGTTTTCCCACCTTCGCCTGACATTGACATCTCTCCTTACCTTTCTTCCATACACCTTTTGTCTGAGGCTGTCCATTCTTGTCCACATTGGCACACTTGTCCTCTTCGGCCCCTTCCATTCACACTTGGCTCCTTTGTCACGGCCATCTTCCTTACTTCTTCCTTCCTCAAGGGTCCTGCCTTCATGGCATACTATTGTTTACCACCAACCCACATGCCACCAATGGTATAAGTGACTGTCCTGTCACATTATCTGCATCATCTGATGGTTTCCTTCTCAGCTGGATATCGTCTACCTCCTGTTTCCATCCTTCACTCATCAGTTCATCTTTAGGTGGGTGCCATTTTTCTTCTTTATTTCATAATATTGAGGCCTCCTTGCACTTCTTTTTTAGATCCCACTCTGTAGCAAGTGGTGCCTGTCCAGGTATACTAATTCTTTGCATTGTGTGACCTTTCCATCATTAATGCTCATTGTTGAAATAGGGTGTTCTACAAGACTGCTTCTGGGTTCATCCTCACAGTGTTTTGCTTTAAATATGTTCATTTCAGACTGTACACGCATGGACTAATAACGTGAGGAAAGCAGAAGGGGAATGCTGCCCTTACCTGCAGTTCTCTTGATTACACATATTGGGTTCAGTCTTCTTTTTAAAGTTTCATAGTCACTCATTGCACTTCTCCAGTGATGTGTTTCTCTGAACTCTCTAATGCATTTCCCCCTTTTTTCTACCACTTACCAGCTCCTTGCTGCTGGAGTGGTAGACCATGGAGGCTTCCTCCTGAGTGTGAACAATTGCATTTGAGTGTAGGGTGGTGATGTTCTGCCAGTGTAGGTGATATTCTCCTACCAAGAATCTGATATACAATTCCAGATGCTGTACAGCATGGACTAGATTTTTCTGTCACATTTTTATATGCAGTTTACCCCTTTGACTGGGAACCCTCTTTCCTATTACTGCCTGAATGTCAGTTCCTGGGTGACTGGTGTTAGTTGAGTCAGACCAGTCAATATAAGTGGGCTAGGACTCTCCTCCTACATTGGACTGGATGATACATTCCAAATTCTGCATGGATTTGGACTAGAGTTGATCCTCCACATTGCATTTCCATCTTCCTATTGTCATCTGGATGTAGGTTCTCTGGGGTACTCATGTTGGTTTATGAACACATGATGGCTTAGGTTCTTGAAACAGAAGTACTTCTTCTCTTCTGGTTCCTGGGTCTCAGGTGAATGGTAGAGGACCCTTCTCCTACCATGAACCAATTTATCCTATCTTGGTGCCACTGGTTTTGGACTGGAGTTGACCTTCCACTTACGGTCCAGCGAGCCCTATCCATTCTACAGCAGTGGAGCTTTTTTGGATGTGCCTCATTTCTGCCCATTTTGTGACACACTCATTCATCTTGAGCAAGCAGTATACCTGATTCAGACGTGGTTGGTCTCCATTGAGATGTCACACCCCTTGACTCCTCTTCTGGGAGTGATTCATCTAGGTTACTTCTACACTGGGTCAGTGTGGATTCTAACTATTTTGTCAGAAGAGGTAAAACTCTATCAGAAGTTAATATTTTCCTTACCTGAAAATGTATTTCCGATAGGTTCATACCTCTTCTCACCCATCCTTGTTACTTCTGGTGTGTTTTATATAAAGGCTATTAGCGGGTGAAAATTTTGCACATGTAGAGGGCAGTACAAATTGAGGAAAGCTGTTTTGTGTAAAAGAGATAAGTTTCTATCAGAAATATATTTTCAGTTTAGGAAAATATTAATACTTTGAAGTTTGAAAATCACTTCATGTGTATTTTAAAATTTTCCTAGAAAAAAATCACAAATTATGCACTATATGCAAGACAGTAGATTATACACAAAATTGTGTATGCACATAATCTCATAGTTCCAACAGGTATATTTAAACAAAACAGTGAGAACAAATACTTCTAATTAACTATCTGTACTGACGTGTAATCAGACCAAAAGTTAATGTTTGGGTAGCCAAAGATCAAATAGTTATGAGATTCAAGTGTGCTAATAAGTACATATGTAACTTGGTTAATTTAACATTTCTATTTCTGTATATCTTCTCTGCCTGAAGCCTTTCGTAATGCTTTGTCAAATATAATTTTATCATAAGATGAAACAGGAAGTCTGCTCTTATAATTTTATTATAACATAGCTTGTTTTTTTTCTGTTTTAAGTGATATAACTTATTTGCCCAAAATACTTATAAGTTGTTTCTTTTTTAACCACAGCAAGCATACATAAGCATAGGTATATGTAGTAAAGTATTTTGCCAAATTTCTGCTGTTATTTTGGATTTGTGAAAAAATTTATAAAATGTATTACTTATATGGTGTGTATTGTTTGAAAATTTCTGTAGCACTTTTGTTACTATTTTCTAGATGAGAACTAAATGCCAGTTGTTAAAATGTTTCTCCTTTTGATGAGAAAGTTTAGAAGAAATAATGACAAATAATTGATTTTGTTTTTTTTTTAGTTATGGGATAATCGAGATGGAATGTGCAAACAGACCTTCCCAGGACATGAATCTGACATAAATGCTGTCACAGTTAGTACTAGTTTGTGGTGTAGTTAAAAGGAGTTGACTTAAATTATGCTGTTTTCCTATATATAAAGACAGTTTTTATACACTTAATACTTTAATTGTATATTATGGATGTTATTACAATAAAAATATTTATTTTTCTTGTAACTGTTCTTTTTAAAAAGAGACAATTCTTCTTACACATGTATTTATATATTATAATATTTTTTGTTTATTCATCTGTGTGTTTTAACTATATTGGACCATTTTCTACAGATTAAACTGATGCTAGAATCAATTTACTTTTCTAAGTTTTAAATGGTATTTTATCTTTAAGAGAAGTGTTTGTATTTTCCATGCATAGGTTGTAAGGTCTTTAATAATGGTTAATGAAAATTTATATAATATATTCAGTTATGTTAACTACTAATAATAATTGACTATTTATATTTCAGTTTTTTCCCAATGGTTATGCTTTTGTTACGGGATCAGATGATGCAACGTGTCGGTTGTTTGACATCCGCGCAGACCAAGAGTTAGCTATCTATTCTCATGATAACATCATTTGCGGTATTACATCCGTTGCCTTTTCCACAAGTGGCCGACTCTTGTTGGCAGGATACGATGACTTTAACTGTAATGTGTGGGATTCCATGAAAGCTGAGAGAGCTGGTTAGTAAAATTAAATTTTCTTTTCTTTCGACATTATAAGGTGCCATATTCAGAAGTTACAAATTATTGAAAATTTAACTACCTCTTGTTTAATAGTTTGTACAACAAAACCTATTGCATTGTTTTTCTTGTTCAATTTAGTTTCTTAACTAAGAATATCCTTAAAATATTATATTATTAAAATTTAAACAGATTTATGCATTAAAAATTTTACCAAATTTCTGCCACTTGATTTTGGATTTTGTGGGAAAATTGATAAAATTCAATTCTTATAATTACAGATTACTGATGGAACCATTTTCTAGACGATAACTCAAATTGCAATATCTTGTTTCTTTGTTATTTCATGAAAATATGAATGTACTATTACAGTTTATGTGTAAAGAAATTAAGTTTACACATTTTCACAGTTCAGCTATCTTTCATATCCTTAGAATTGTATAAATGAATTTTGGGTGTTCTTTTCTTTGGCTTATAATTTAATTTGAAACTTTCTATAAAAAAACTATCAGTATTATTATAGTGTATGTTACACAAGTGAAAAGGCCGTGATGTGATACAGCCAGCTAAGACTACCTGCTTCATATGCACATTATGATACAGTGTGTAAAAAAGATTCTATTCTACCTAAGGAAGGTTCTCAAATAAATTCAATTTCATTACACTAAAAATATTTTAATACTTGACAGCTTAGAGCAGTTAAATGCATAAAGTAATAAATACTTGAATAAACTGAAGAGAGAATTGTTAGTCCATCATAAACAATATCCTGGACTTGATGGAAAAAAGTAACTACAATGATTATGTTGTGTTTTGTATAGAATTTAATGATTGGGTTTTATGCTAATGGTCAGTATACATGAAGCTTCCATAACTTAAAGTAGATTCATTAAATTTTGAAATACTGAGTCATCCAGCATGTGCATAATTCAGTAGTGTTGTAAAGGTTAATGAAAGAGCTTGTTTTTTTGTTTTTTTATCTGTATAAAGTTATTTGTAGAAACAATTTACTTATAACCATATTGATCCAGTATTAGTTAAAATAACCAATTTTCTCTACTGAAGTTCAAGCAGTAGATATTTTAGGCAGTATAAAGGGGTTGTTGTGTAAGTTGATAAATACTATCACTAGGATTTGTTTATGAAAAATTAATTGTTGTTATAAATTTAGTTTCTAATATACATTTTCTGTTAATACCAAATGTATAATGATTAATTTATCTCTTCTTTATTGAGAAATACTGAACTAAATGAAACTGTTTTTATCCTAAACAATAGCAAGTTTGGGTAATAAATATAAACTATACTTATTTTGATTAAGGGTGTCAAATGGCTGTTGATCTTAACTCATTGATACTGAAAAGTAAATAAAGAATGTTTTTTTTTTGGGAGGGGGAGTACCTTTTCCCAGATTTCTCAGTTGTGGATACTTTATGAAATTGAATTTGTTACTAACATATAATAATATGTAATTAATATTCATTTCTGATGAAAGGAAGCTGTCTACATAGATCACAACTATATATAATTAGGTAGCTAATTAAATATTATGTTCAAACTAAATTACTTTAAATTTTTGTAATACATTTTTTGTCAGTTGGAAACCCTTGCTGTTAAAAATATTTTGATCAGTATGAAATCTTGCCTTGTGATACAGCATTTTCTCTAATATGTTAACTTTTATTTGTTGTTAGGTTTTAAAAACAACTCTTTTAACATTATTTTTGTTACGTTTCTAGGTGTCCTGGCTGGACATGATAATCGTGTCAGCTGCCTGGGTGTTACAGAAGATGGCATGGCTGTAGCAACAGGTTCATGGGATAGCTTCTTAAAAATCTGGAACTAAAGCACAACTCCTCTCAAAACAACTGTCTTTTCTCAACAAGCTACTAGTACTGCTAAATATATATATGACATGAACTTGATATTTAGATTTAAAAGGAAGGCTTTGACACTGTTAATTTTGTCATAATTGTGCAGTTTTGTAAATATTGTTTCAACTGTTAAACACTTGCAATTTCAATCATTTTGATGTTTAGTTTTAGTTGTGTATGTGGTGATGCATTCCAATTTAGAAAACATAAAATCATTAGCAAGCTTAATTAAGGAGATCCTTTAGCCAATATTCACAAAATGTTAAATTAATAAAATTCTAATCAGCTGAGAGTGTAGGAAATGTTTATTTTTAGTACTTTTTCTCTCTTGTGTTTTTCTAGAAAATATATTCTTAGTCCTTTTTTTTTCCTTAATGCATTTTTGTTAGAAAAAAAAATCTCCTTAATTCTAGTCAGCAAAGTTGGAAAATAAAAATACATCTTTCTGGTTTATCTACAGGGTTCTCTTCAGAAAAGAAGAGCTCTACAATTAAACAATATTTCAGAAACAAGAGCTCTACAATTAAGCAGTATTTCAGACTGGTCATGCAAACAAAGTGAGTGTACCAGTTCAGGCCTGAAAACACTGATAAAAATATCATTAACCATTGTGCACATAATATCAAGTATTTGCACTTTTGTATTGTGCCAGGTGCATATAAATGGTATAGACAATTTTTGGTATATGGGAAAACAACAACATTCACTTGTGTTCAACACATGGTAAATAGTTCATTAACATTTACCTCTGAAAATTTATTGATGGGTACATGTTTTAGAGTTTTGGTGCACAAGAAAGTGTACTGATATCAATATGCTAAAAAAAAGGGCTGGGGAGAATCCTGATGTACTTGAAAAATACCTTGTATTGTTATTGTTGGGATTTGTATTCTTTAAACATTTTTGTGGTTTGGAAGATGTGTAGATGGAATGATGTATAAGAAGTTGGTAGCTAACATTTAGGAATGTTTGTAGCAACATCACTTTTCATCATACATGCACTGATTTTTGACTCGCATGAATTTTGTTGCATTGAACCTTTCTACATGTTTTCTATGTTGCCAGCTTGATTAAGGTAATGTTATTTCACAAACACAATTAATAAAACACGTTTCTAAAATAACTGTAATTATATACATGTTTGTAGTATACTATGAGGTGCCATGATTATGTACATATATAAATTTCTTCCTTTGTCCATCCTTTCTGAAATCATTTAATCTTAGTGTCTGTACCTTTGTGATTTATTTAGTAAAATATTAGCTTTTTTTGTATCATCTTTACAGTTTTGTCAGCTTCTTGGGACCACAAATTCTTGCACATGGTTTCAAATTAATTTGTGTTGTCCTGAAACTATGCTGCTGTTTTCAATGAATCTTGTTTCTGTTGTAACTGTGAGGAGTTCAGTAGTGCAAATGTTAAACAAGAAGTGATAACTTTATCACTTTTTTCTTACAGGAATAGTGGCTATATCAGTAATGTTTGAGTTAAAAAAAGCTTACTCTCCTTTTTCTTTACAAATGAAATAGGAAAGATTACATGTAACTACTTGTTCTGAGAGTCCTACTGGCTATAATTATGATAATGATTTTTTTTTTTGATGAATGCATATTAAAAATGTATTAAGTTATTCTCATCATATCTTTTTCCTTCCAAGAAAACAAAATTCGTATTTATTTTGGCTGTTACAGGACTTTTTTCATATTTTGTAGTATCAGGATTACCTTTTTCTGCCCCAATGAAATTGTATTTGTGACTTCTTTTGACAAGTTTCTGATATTTTGTCAAAGGTCTTTTGTCAAGATAGGAGGTTGACCAAACAGTTTTTGTTATTGTACTGGTGTATGCCTGCATGTGCAAGGACATTGTAATGTTAAAGGTAACCAGTAGAATGGCTTAGTATTTCTGTGCAATTTTTACATTAAAATTTAGCCATAATAAAAAAAAAATAACAGGTTTCCTGACCTAAAAAATTTAAAAGAGTATCATTATACTTGTAAATTATTTTGGTTACATTTAGAAAGTTATCACTCTTAAGTTACACTTCATTATAATAATGCAAAGTACTTTGCTAGCTTACTAATTTTTTTCTCATCTGATGGTATTTTTAGATGGATTTTCAAATAAGCAGATTCTGACTACCTAACTTGGAGGCTTTTTAAATAACAAAAGAAGAGATACTGTTATGTAGATTTTCTTTCTTAGCTATTTTGTTTTGCAAAACTCTGTCAGCTGTGTGAAAGGTTATTTGGTTTGTGTTATATTGGTCTTTTGACTTTTGCATATTTAGTGTAGACTTGATAATAATTATTCTGAAATAATTTTTCAAGGCATAACTGTTAACTTTATGTTCCAGATGGAGAAGTAACATTAAGGACGTGCCCTCTCCTAAATTTTTAGATAATAGATTGATATAGGGACTAAAAGTGATTTCTGTGTGAATGTTCTTTCAATAATGAACTTATCTTTATGATCTGATTTTGACTATACTTTAATAGATGCACAATAAGCTCTTTACAATTTTTCTAAGAGCAGCACACTATCTGTCTGTGTACCTATCTTATGTATGTAATTTTTTTATAGTTCTTACATGTTTTTGATCTTTTTGTTAAAGGAAGTGAAATGGTTTTTCCCAACTAACTGTTTTGTAAAAAGAAGTATTTTTTCTCTAATTTATTTTGTATAGGAGAAAAATGCTGCCTGCTAATGAACTAAGTTCTTTGTTGAAACAAAGAGCTCTAGTTCAAAAATTGAATGTTCGATAGATGTTAGCTTTCTCGTGTTTCATATGGTTATAGAATTAAGTATTATTACAGCTATTTGGCTGGTTTATTATAGGATATAATGTAAAAATGTCCTATATTTGATCCAAGTATCCTTAGATGTACAAGTTAATTGATTGCTGAAAGTCATTATGTTACACACAAAATTCATAATCTTGAGGTATTGTGGTTTCACAAAAGTTCTTGTACTACATAATTATATGCCTGGGGCATTCTCTACTAAGATGATGATGTTTTAGATTTTACATTGAGAAAAGTGTCATATTGAATCTGTAATAGTCTGTATGGTTATACAAAGGAAAGTATCATCTTGAATCTGTAATAGTCTGTATGGTTATACAAAGGAAAGTTTCATCTTGAATCTGTAATAGTCCGTATGGTTATACAAAGGAAAGTATCATCTTGAATCTGTAATAGTCTGTATGGTTATACAAAGGAAAGTATCTTGAATCTGTAATAGTATGTATGGTTATACAAAGGAAAGTATCATCTTGAATCTGTAATAGTATGTATGGTTATACAAAGGAAAGTATCATCTTGAATCTGTAATAGTCTGTATGGTTATACAAAGGAAAGTATCTTGTATCTGTAATAGGCTGTATGGTTATGCAAAGGAAGGTTTCATCATGAATCATGTTTTCATTATTAGCTGGTATTGTGAATGTCAAGCTTCCTGGTTGTATGTGGCATAAAAAAAAATGATTCCATTAGAGTATTTTTGACAAGTCTGTCATTTCAGGAGCGAAAAAGATTGTGACAGTAGTAGATTTGACAAATGTAAAAGCCTTTTTTATATACCGTTAGTTAAAGGAAGATGGAGTGAACAAAAAATCTTGGCTGCACATTTCAGTCAATATCGACTTTAGTCAGTAGCTTTTCATCTTGATTGTGCATGTAATCAAACTTGTGTAATAAAACTTTGTTCTACACTGTTGTTTTCTTTGTGGTGTGTTATAATAAATAGATTGCATAGTATTTCTGTGGTTATTATAGTACAGCATTATGTACTTTTTAACCCAGGTATACAGTCTGACTGTAGCATACAAAGAATTGTATTACGTGTTATAATACTTTAAATATTGGCACGTGGTTATATAAAACTGTTTCATCAAAAAAAAAAAACCCAACAAAACTCATTATTGCATTCTCCCAAAATTATTTGTTAAATTTTATTAACTTGAGGATGGTATTTCAGTGTTTTAAAAATAGGTCAGCCTACAACTGAAGCTTGAGAAACATTTGCTCCTATGAACTGAGGTGGAGTTTCTCGGCAACATAGTCTAGAAAAAGAGAGTCTTTACAGATTCAGATAAAATATCCATGGTGCTAGACCGACATCGAAACAAGAGATCCACGGTTGTTTTTGTTGGGTTTTTTTTTGGGGGGGGGATATCAAAATACCGACAAGTTGTGGGGAGTATGACCAAGTATTCTAGTCCCCAGAGTTTCCTTTAGTAGATACTTCAGAGCTGGCTTATCCTTAACAGTATTATAGGTTTCTTCTGGACACAGAAGCCAGTGACAGAGGAATCGGAGCAGGTAATTAGAAAAACTAATTCCGATTAATCTATTAATTTGAATAACACTAATCAATGTAATTTTTTCACATGAGTAGTCAATTATATATATATTATTAGACTAAATTGTCCAACTCTACTAAAAACTCATTACTAGATATGCACAATTAACTCAATCGATTGCTCATTACATCGATTAGTGTCACGTGAAATAATCAACTAATTAGAATTAGGGTTTCCATTTATTACTGTTTTTGACTATCCCTACTATCAAGTAGCCATGTAATTAAAATATTGCTATTATGATATCTCATTATTATTATTTTTTAATTAATTCACATTTGTTAACCTTCGGGCCAGCATGGCCCAGTAATCAGAGGGGTTGCTTCGTGACTCGAATTCGATTCCCGTTACCATTGAACATGCCATTTAGACCGCGGAGCATTTGTTTTGAAGTTATGAGTACTCAACCACTGACCCTAGTTTTGAACTGCAGGCCAGATAGAAAGCAACGGACTAGCAGTATCCCATTGTCAACTGTTATGCTAATATTTTACCAACAAAAGGATAACACGTTTGATGACACTATGTATTAAAATCTTCAATAGTTAATTCATGAAGCAACCATCCTAGCCACCAGTCTATACCAGTTTGAGGACATTATAATGTGGTAGTTAAATATGTCACTTGGTAAAGAAAGTAGCCCAAGAATTATGGTGTATTGGTGCTGTCAATCAGTTGCCTTCTCTCTGGTGAGCAGTTCAAAATTGAAGATGACGGTATAACTCAAACAAACTTCTTCAACTTCAGATACATACCAACAGAACCTTCTCATGACTCGACAGCTACTACTACTTACATTGACACAGTGTTATGCATGCGTTTTGTTTGTACACAACTTACGAATGTAAAGGTGTTGCCTAGTAACCATTGGTTAGGTAACTAGACACAATTATTGTTGTTGTTCATGTATGTTTACCTTGTTTGGATTAAACAATAGTGTATCTTTAACTTAGTTTACTGCTTACTTATTACGTGCTTCAAAAGTAACCAGTGCTACATTTTGAGGGCATGCACACAATGGATAGGGGGAGGGGTAGAGCACATCCCTTAGCCATGAACTTTTAAAATGTGTTCGTTTATTTGTTTGTTCTTAAGCACAATGGGCAATCTGTGCTGTACCCACTACGGGTATTGAAACCCGTTTTTTAGCATTATAAGCCTTCAGACTTACCGCTGAGCCACAGAGAGACATTACGATGTGTAAAAAAAAAATAGATATCATGTAAAGCCATATATAAATACTTGAATATTTATCTGTAAACTGAACTACTTTAAAATAATGAGAATTTTTAGTTATTTGTACAATAACCGTTATAACTTATACAGAAGATATTTTTAGCTATGTTTCAATCTTTCACCTGCGAGTACTCCAATCAATCTGTGAATATTAATACTAGCGTAACTAATAACTTCATGTTTTATATATTGCTATAGCCATAATTAGAACTTAGTTGTGGTCAAGCACCAAGCTACGTAGTGGGCTATGTGTTGTCTGCCCACCACGCGTATCGAAACCCGAATTTCAGTGTCGTAGGCCTGAAGAATTACCGCTGAGCCACTTGGGGATTGAGACATTATAACTATAACCAGCGCTAGCTCCATTAATTTTGTTATATTCTGAGTGATTTATTATTTATTTACACATTATAATAACTGTAAAATATTGTTCCCAGTGGTTCAGCGAAAAGTCTGAAAGCTAAAAATCGGCTTTCGATACTCGTGATGGGAACAGCACAGATAGCCCATTGTGTAGCTTTGTCGCTTAAGAACAAAGTAAAATATTATTTAAAAGAAGAAATATTTGTTTTCTACTCAAAATACAGAGGCTCTCTGAGAGTAATTATTATAAAATTAATGGTTTACACGAGAACTTCGAGCAAAGCTGTACAAGAACTATTTGGCAATTCTTATAAAATATTTTTGGTATCATCTTATATCTCTGATATTGGCTTAGTAAAGGACAATTCTTATTCTAGAGTTCCTATCTATTATGTTATTATGCTTAACATTTTTTTCATGTGTATTATGTCAGCTATATTTTAGATAATAAGATTAAATTAATAAGTTGAGGTAAATTTATAAATAACTAAAAAACAAAGCCAGAGTAAAAAAATGATCTTGTATTATACAACTACTTTTAAGTATTTTAATCTATAATATAAATATTATGATATTTTCTTATCAACTGTATTATTGTAGGTATTTCTTTTAATGGACTAAAAGTGAAACCACCACTCACTACCAAACTAAACGAATTTAACTTAACTTAATTCAGAAAAAAAATCTTGATTGCGCGCAAGATTTAGGGTAAGGTTACACCAAGTGAATATTCATTTGTTTTTGTTCGCTCAAAGAAACTTTGGTTGTTGAATAACTTGTTCAGAATCTTGCTTATCAGAATCTACTAAACATGTAATAATAACAGTCTAACAATATGAAATACCGTTAACTCGCTAACCTATTTACATGATAAGGATTCTAACAACTAGCTCTAACTAGATATGAAGAACTGAAAAGGAAAAACAAAAATCTGGCTACTATTACACGCCACTGAAACATGGCTTAGTTCAGTAAATTTAACTGACTGGTTTCTCAGCATGTTTTTACAAGTCTGTTTATTAGCAAAGCACATTGAGCTATCTACTATGTCCGTAAACTTACCGTTGTTCCACCAGGAGACGTTCTACAAGTCAAAAACTAATTATTTTTGATTAAATCACTCACTGGACCTCACCTTGAATAGTTTATCCAGTTTTGGGTCAACTTATCTGAGAATAGATATTGAGTTACTGAAAAGGATTCAGAGGAGGGCTACTAGGGTGTTTTCTGAGATGGAAGGGTTATCTTGCAAGGATTGGTTATGAGTTGAAAGTGGTTCTGAGAAAGACTATTAGGATATTTCCTGAGATGGAAGGGTTATCTTACAGGAATAGGTAAATAATTCTTACGTCTTCTTCATAAAAGAAGGGCAAAATGATGCTATTGAAGTATACACGATTTCCTGTGGAATCGATAGGGTAAAAGTCTTTAATTTCTTTGTGTTGTATACTGAAGACAATAGGATGAAAATACACAGTTTCAAATTTGAAAAAAAAAAGACAGGCTATGCTTCGATTAAGACAGTTTTAATTCTAATGGGGAGAGTGAGAAAACGCAAGTTTAAGATTTGGAAAAAGACAAGCTAGGGTTTAGTTAATAAGACAGTTTTATTTTTCTAACAGGGTAATTGGCTTATGGGATCTGACACTTCACAAAACTTTAAGAGAAGAATCAATGATATCTTTACACAATAATAAGGAGATTCTTCAAGAATAAAATATTATTTTGTCGTCTTATGTTATACAGATTTACACATAATTACCTTATCATCTGTATGTTAAGATTTTGTTACTAATGTTTACTTAAGAAGTTATACAACACAAATGAAGTTGTGATTGGCATTTATATAAAGCTAGGCGATTAATGGTGTTTGTTAATTGGCAGGCTATGACGCTTGAAAGGGCGTCGCGAACCCTTCCTTGCTTTCTGAGCCACAAGGTGGTTTCCATGAAATCCGCTGAATGGTGAGAACTTGGTAGAGTATATTATTCAATGCCCGCTGGAGTTCACATCGATCTTCATGAGAAATGCGCTGAATCTGATCAACTAGAGATGTTAGCTTTCTCTGAGAATCTTGAAGTACAGTAGTGACAGCATGAATTTTAATCTTGGTGAAAAGGTTTCTGATTTTTTTAAAATGTTATCAATGGTTATTTATTTAGTGAAGCTTGAAATAAAAATAGGTTGAGTTTAAGGCTTCTCGATAGCACAGCCATTGCTACTGAGCTGCGATACGATACTCGTATCGTATCGTGAAGCCGTGATACGATTGTATCGATACATCGTCCGATACAATACGATTTATATATCTTCACGAAATTTGGCAAGTTTCAGTAAACATTATAAGTCTTTTGTAGAGAAAAAATCTGAATTTCAAATAAAGTATTTTTGCTAAAAATTAATGATTCAATAAAGGAAGATGAGTATTGAGTACTACATGTTGTCTTCATTTCTTTTATCAAAAACATTACCTGCAAAGTAACATAACAAATTAACAATAACAAAATAGATAGACAAATATTAACTTTTTTGATTTTACTTTTCTTGCCAGCTGCCATTTAGTTGATCAAACCTGAGAAATTGTTTGTTTTGAAATTAAGCACAAAGCTACACAATGAGCTCTCTGTGCTCTGCCCACCACGGGTATCGAAACCCGGTTTCTAGCGATGTAAGTCCACAGACAAACTGCTGTGCCACTAGGGGGGGGGGTGAAAATGTTAAAAAGCACTGTAAAGTGTGAAGTACTTAAATAAGA